ACTCTTTCCGTAGCATTTCCAAGATGAATGCAGCCTCTGCCTCCAGCCAGAAATCGGGAACATGCACGGGGACTGAAGGCCCTTCACGCGGCGTGCCACACGCTGCCCTCAGGTACACCAGGTCCTTAAACAACTGCTCTGCCCCAGGTGGGGCCTCGCCAGCCTCCTGACCCATCCTCGTCCTGCAGGATCAGGCTGCTTCCCACGCAGCTGGCTTGACCCGGGCCCGAGAGGGCCTGCTGCTCCCTCTGCAGCTCCAGAAACCTGCTGCAGCAGAACTTCATTCCTGACGCACAGCTCTGATGGTGCCGTGCTCCTTCTTCCTCTCCCGCATCTTAGTCTTTTATTTATCGGCCTTTGGCTTCTCTTTACCACCTTTGAATCTTTTTCTTTCTGACATTTACAATTTCTGAGTGGAATAGTACCGTGGATGTCTATTCTTCTGGTTTGTCCAGTAGCCACCCACGCTCCAAGCTTTTGAACAACTTCTGTCCTGTTCCAAACCTGTGTTTCCGGTGGGGCTGCCAGCGTGTCATCTCCCTTGGTCCAGGCACGGGTGGACCTGAGACCCAAAGAGGCTAAAGAAATCTATTACATATGCTTGGATTTGGAGCTAGAGGGAGCAGAGCCTTTTCTTTTGTCACAGAGCTAGACAAATGTGGCCTGGGGGCTGCTGGAAGGCACCTTGTCTACCACGGGGGCACAACTGCCTGTGTGGGGAAGGACGAGGACCATGGGGCGGGGCGAGAAGAGCTGAGTGGAACAGGTCTGGGGAGAGAAGGAGGGAAAGATCGAGAGACACCCAGAGAGGGACACCAAGCTGGCGGCCCAGACGATGTCCCTGAACTGGCTGTGCAGTTACGCGGGGCAGCCATCTCCTGTTTGTGCCCCATCTGATTGGATTCCTGTCACACGTAACACAAAGTATCTTGAGAGATTCACGTAGCAGGAAGGCAGGTGATGCAGTGGTAACGACCGCTCAGCCCTCTCTAGTGCAGTAACTGTCTAGACCTTTATAAACAAGGAAATCTGGGCACGAGCTGACTCAAATGCTTTTGGGGGTGGGGGAGGGGAGTGTAAATCATAACGAAAATAAAATAAATAAACCTGAGGCCTTAGTTCGAACCCCAGCTCTTCAGGAGGGTGGGCAAGTCACTTAAGCCTCATCCTCAGCCCCTCGTGCAGATGGGAAGGGCGAGCAGGTTGCTGGGTCCGCAGGAGGCTCTTAATAAATAACGATTACAGTTCAGTTTAAGAAAGCTGAGAAACACAGGAGAGCACTCAAAGCCCTTTCCTCTGGAAGGATGATGCTGACAAATAGCTGGCAGGTGCTTTCGTGATTGTTGAACGCAGTTCATCTCAGTCTGGGACGGGGTTACGGCGATATTCCCCATTACAAGTGAGAGCAGGTCTGCTCCTCTCAATTCTGAGCGGTGTGCTAGTGTGCTTGGTGTCTTTTGTGCAGTAAGAGCGATTTCCATCATCCATCCACTCTGCAGAGGGGCGCTGCCTCCGCACACCCCATTGCTCCTAGAGCCTGACCCCCTGCCCTGTCCGTAGGCTGCAGCCCACTGCTCTCTTGCACCCCAGTTCCCTAGCACCCAATGGGCCACCTCTCTTGGATATATCTAACAAGAAGAATATTACACATTTTTTTCCAGCTGTCATGGGCTCAGGAGCTTTGTACTATCTAACCCAAAGGGTATTCGTTTTATATGCTCAGAATAACTTGGCTATCTTAAAAACTGGGAACTATCATTTTGGGGGCATTTTGCCCCATCTTTCATTTCTTTCAAGGACCTCTTACTATTCTTTACAAAGGTATCACCATTCTCTGTTAGCGAACAAATTTATGAGGTTGGACAAATCAGTTTTATTTGTGCAGTTTAATTGAAGGTTTATTCATCTATCCTTGGAGAATTTCTAAAAACTCAATATGGACTTCACTCAAAATACACAGATAAATAGCATATGAGTGTGCTAATCAATTTCTTTTAAATCACAAAACACGTACATTATAAGAAATTAAAATTGGTTTTAATCAGTGCTTTTTGAGCTTTTCAAAGTTGCATCCATCAATTCTCATTTCTCAGGCCCGCTTGATTTTCTGTTGGCTGCCTACTCTTTTACTTTCTCTTCCA